AAAAAACTGTAAAAATTACGCGAAAAAGGAACAAAGTAGCGACTTTTGCACTAGAAACCCTCGAACGGAAGAGACCCACAACGATCGGTCACTGGATCTGGAAGGAGGAGGCAGAGGCGAGCCTGTCTGCCTGGGTTTGGTCGGAAAAGGTGGCCGGAACAGTGCACACGCGCCGGAGAGAGGTGGCGCGTGAGGCCCACGCGCAGACAGCTGTGGTGGCGCGTGGAGGCGCGTGCGGCGGCCGTTTGGGACGGGTCTTGGACAGAAATGGTCGCCGGCGTGAGGGGATCCTGATCGCGTGGTTTCTCGCCGGAAAGGTGGCCGGAACAGTGATGAACAGTGACGGAACAGTGTTTCTTGCGATGTGAACAGTGTTTTCTGGTCAAATAATGAAGGAGGATGATGATCTGAGATCGAAAAAGGGTCTAACAATGTTCGGAGGGTTGAAAAGGGTTGCCGGTATGATGCACGGCGGTAAAAAGGTTTGCCGGTATGATGCACGACAGTAAAACGAAAGGAAAAGATATATATGCGGAAGCAGAGCCCTCAGATCGAGAGCTCTGATACCAAATTGAATCTGAAATATATTGTATATTCAAGTGTGTAAGTCTGTACAAGGAGGCTCTCTATTTATAGAGACTAAAAAGACCTAATGGGATGACCTAATGGGCCAAGCCCACAATCTAGACTATTCTAGACTATTCTAATAATAATAAAATAATAATATTTCTAACAGTTGCCAAAGGATTTACTCAGACTTATGGGATAGACTATCAGGAGACGTTTGCTCCCGTTGCCAAACTTAACTCTATGCGAGTCCTAATATCACTTGCTGCCAACCTTGATTGGCCCTTGCATCAATTGGACGTAAAGAATGCCTTCTTAAATGGGGACTTACATGAGGAAGTTTACATGGATCCACCACCTGGTTTTGAAGAGGGAGATGGTTCAGTATGCAAGTTGAAGAAGTCTCTTTATGGACTTAAACAATCCCCTAGAGAGTGGTTTGAAAAGTTTACTCGTGCTGTTAAAGAAAGAGGATTTGTCCAAGCTCAGACTGATCACACTTTATTTTTTAAACACTCCGATAGTTGCAAAATTGCTATCCTCATTGTTTATGTTGATGACATAATTGTCACTGGTGATGACTGGGAGGAAATAAAATCTTTAGAGGGGGGTTTAGCTAATCAGTTTGAACTGAAGGATCTTGGATCACTCAAATATTTCCTTGGAATGGAAGTTGCTCGTAGCAAGGCGGGAATTTCCTTATCTCAGAAGAAATATATCCTAGACCTGCTACAAGAAACAGGTATGCTCGGTCAAGCCAGCAGAAACTCCTATTGAACCCAATATTAAATTGGGAATTGAAGATGGAAAAGATGTTGACAGGGAGCAGTACCAAAGGTTGGTAGGGAAGCTGATCTACTTATCTCATACTCGGCCTGATATTGCATTTGCAGTTAGCATGGTTAGCCAATTCATGCATTCTCCTAAGGAAAAACACCTTAGTGCGGTTTATAGAATCCTCAAGTACCTCAAAAACACCCCTGTTCGAGGAATGCTCTTTAAAAGGGGACACAAGAGGATGATAGAAATCTATACAGATGCTGATTGGGCTGGCTCTGCAATGGACCGAAGATCCACTTCAGGATATTGTACCTATGTCTGGGGAAATCTTGTGACCTGGAGAAGTAAGGAACAAACTGTTGTTGCCAGAAGCAGTGCAGAAGCAGAATTTCGGGCGCTAGCCCATGGCATTTGTGAAGGAATCTGGTTAAGAAGACTCCTTGAAGAGTTAAAGATATCTTATTCTCTACCTGTCAGACTCTATTGTGATAATAAGGCTGCAGTCAGTATTGCTCAAAATCCTGTACATCATGATAGAACCAAACATGTGGAGGTTGATCGTCATTTTATTAAAGAAAAATTGGAGGAGGGTCGTGTATGTTTGTCATATATACCTACCAAGGAGCAAACAGCCGACATTCTCACCAAAGGATTACATAAACCCATCTTTGAGGATTTAATTAGCAAGTTGGGGATGATCAATATATATCTCCCAACTTGAGGGGGAGTGTAGAATATTCTAGAGTCTTTTACTTGTTTCTAGCTACTAGTATCTTTGAGTAGTGTGATGCCTCTTCGGTTACTGTGTATTTTATTTATTACTTCATCTCCTTAACTACCTTATAATCTGTATAAAAAGAACCCTTTGGGGTGTCAATCTATATATGAAAAAAATACATTTCAGTCTTATATTACAATATTTTCCATTTATAAAAAGTTTTCTGCTGAGATTCATACTCAATTTGGTGGTTCTATTTGTATTCTACATAGTGATAATGCTAAGGAATATGTTTCTATTGATTTTTCTAATTTCTTGGCTACACAGGGTACTTTACATCAAACCACTTGCCCTCACCCTCCATAACAAAATGGGGTGGCTGAACGTAAAAACAGACATCTCATTGAAACTGCCCATACCCTTCTTATTCATATGCAGGTTCCCCTTCACTTCTGGGCGGATGTCGTACTCATCTCTTGTTTTCTCATCAATCGCATGCCTTCATCTGTGCTCAACAATGACATTCCTCATAATCTATTGTTTTCAGATGCTCCTCTTTATCCTCTAACTCCACATGTCTTTGGTTGTACTTGTTTTGTTCATGATCTCACTCCTAGTAAGGACAAATTAACATTCAAAGCCTTTAAGTGTATTTTTCTTGGTTATTCTCGCATTCAAAAGGGTTATCGTTGTTATTCTCCTGATCTTAAGCGTTATATTGTTTCCGCTGATGTCGCTTTCCTTGATCAACAACCCTTTCATTCTATCTCATCTCAGTTGTCACAGGTTGATCAGGTTCTTCCTGTTCCTTTTCTTGACTTGTCTATACCAGTTGTAGGTGACTCTCTCCCAGAGGAAAGACCTCTTGCCTCCAACCCTGTAGACTGTCCTTTTCTCACCTATCAGCGTCGTCAGAAAGTGCTTCCTGCGGACTTGGCCCTGGGTGACTCATCGCCTTCTCCAGTCATCTCTTCCCTTCCGACTCCTTTACCAGAGGCTCTTCCCATTGCCCAAAGAAAAGATGTACATGCTACTTGTAACCCATATCTTCTTTACACCTTTTTAAGCTATGACAGTCTTTCTACTTCTCATTACACCTTTGTTTCTAGTCTTTCTTCTGTCTCTATTTCTAAGACTACAAGTGAAGCACTTTCCCATCCAAGGTGGCGCCAAGCGATGCTTGATGAGATGGTTGCTCTTCATTCCAATGGCACTTGAGATCTTGTTCCTGCTCCTCCAGAAAAGTCTATTGTTGGTTGTCGGTAGGTCTTTAATATCAAGGTTGGACTTGATGGCCATGTTGACCGTATCAAGGCACGCTTAATCGCCAAAGGTTTTACTCAGATCTTCGAACTTGACTATAGTGACACGATCTCTCCAGTCGCTAAGATGGCATCTGTTCGAATGTTTCTTGCCCTCGCTATTGTTCGTCACTAGCCACTCCTTCAACTAGACATTAAAAATGCTTTTCTTCATGGTGATTTACATGGAGCAACCACCTGGGTTTGTTGCTCAGGGAGAGTCTGGGATGGTGTGCAGACTTCGTAAATCCTTATATGGCCTCAAGCAATCTCCTCAGGCTTGGTTCAGGCTTTTGGCTTAATCCGTAGTAAGGTCGATCATTCAGTGTTTTTTAGGTTCACATCTCTTGACAAATGCATCTATATATTAGTCTATGTCGATGATATTATTCTCACTGGAAGTGATCAAGTTGGGATTCACCAGTTAAAATAGTATTTGTTTAGTCAATTTCAAACAAAGGATCTTGGTAAGCTTCGTTACTTCTTAGGGATTGAAGAAGTAGCACAGTCCAGACAAGGCATTTCTATCTGTCAAAGGAAATATGCATTGGATATCCTAGAGGAGACTGGTATGTTGGGGTGTAAGCCGGTTGATACACCCATGGATCCTACTATCAAATTACTACCCGGACAGGGAGAGCCATTATATGATATTGGACGTTATCGGATGTTGATTGGGAAGCTTAATTATCTCACTATAACTAGGCTGGACATTTCTTTTGTTGTTAGTGTGGCTAGTCAGTTCCTTGACTCTCATTGGGATGCTGCTAGGAGGATTCTCCAGTACATCAAAGGAACACCAGGGAAAGGCTTATTATATTCAGATCAGGGAAATACATAAATTTGTAGTTATTCAGCTGCCGATTGGGCGGGATCACCCTCGAATAGGCACTCTACTTCAGGCTATTGTGTCTTCTTTGGAGGAAACCTGATTTCTTGGAAAAGTAAGAAACAAACTATTCTTGCCCGCTCCAGTCTAGAGGCTGAGTATTGTGCGATTGGAGTTGCTACCTGCGAGCTAATCTTGTTAAAGCAGTTGATTCGGGAGCTCCATCTTTGTGAACAGAAACAGCCCATGACACTCATTTGTGACAATCAAGTTGCGCTACATATATCATCTAATCCTGTATTTCATGAGAGAACCAAACATATAGAGATCGATTTTCATTTCATTCGAGAAAAGATTCAATCAGGAGAAATCAAAACGGCATTTGTCAACTCTAATTATCAACTCGCGGATGTCTTCACTAAAGCTCTTAGAGGTCCTCGGGTTGAACACATTTATGGCAAGCTGGATGCTTACAATATATATGCTCCAGTTTGAGGGGGAGTGTTAGAGTAGTTATTAGAATAGTTCAGTGTATGTAGTCCTACATCTTATGGACTTAGCCCATTAGGTCTTTTAGTCTCTTTAAATAGAAAGCTCTTGTACATTGTAAAACACTATTATTCAATATACAATTATTCTTTAATCTCAAGTCAAACCAACTTTGCCTCCACATATCCTATAAGAACATTCAATTCCCCTAGTTTCTCTATTCTTAATCAAGAAGAAGCCCTGATTTTGATCAGTTAAAATCCCATGCTTTTCTACGATCCTGCATCAACCTTTAACAATGCAGTTGTAAATTTACCTGCAAAACTGACTTCAAAAATAGGAGTGTTCTCGATCCATGCTCCATAAATATATCAGTGATATTCTTTATTCTGTTTGATCCAAAGTCAGGTTCAACCTTAGAGCAATCAGATGATAGAGGCATGCGAATAATGGTAGAATCTGATAATGACCATAAGTCATTCTGATCAATGAGCATTGGACTAAATTGATCACAAAATCGTTGTGTCAGATCAGTACCTGAAACCTCAAAGTAAACAACTCAAAGTTCTACGACTGTAGAGAAAAGTGACTATTATACTCAAAAATATCAATATTGATTAATATTAAGTATTTTCAAATTAAAAAATAATATAAAAGAATAGTTATGTAATTTTATTTTAATACAAGGAAAAAAAAACAAAAGTATAGGAAAATTTCCAAGCAGCACAGAAGAACAATACATATTATATTAGTCTAAATAGAAGATATCAATACAAGAAGGCCTTCCAATCTTATAGCGTATCCGATTCGGGCACCTCTTACAACCATACTAAACATCAAAGAAAGAAAATTACAAAACAAAAGGAGATATATTCTTGAAATTTTCTCTTCCAGTTTATGAACAATTAATGACTCAAATGATTAATTATGTCAATAAGCAGTTACTCACTAACATCTCTTAGAACATCATTAACCAATGGAGTGATTAATTGTTCTAAAACTGGATATAGTTTAACAAAGAATATTTTTAGCCCAAAAAAAAAGCCAAGAATTTATCTTTTGTAAGTTTCCCAGAAAATAACAGGTATAGATTATGAGAACTTTGATAAATTTGGACAGACAAACATATAGAGAGAAAAATATTTAAATGAATTATTACAGTTAAAGAGTGTTACCCTCTTTCTTTGTTCTGAGTGTTATTGGGCTAATATTGTACTAATCGGACTACAAATCTACAACTGTACTTGCTTCAACTTTTCAGTATAAATTTACACACAAAATGTTGGTGTCCTACTACACTCAGGGCCCGTTTGGATGGGCTTTTTTTCTTCAAAAGCTACTTCTTTTTAGGAAAAAAAAACACTTCTCACTTTAAGTTCGTTTGGATGTCTGCTTTTAAAAAAAGCATGCAGAAGTCACAAAAAAAGTCCAAAACCTGTTTTTTTTAGAAGCTAAAAATTTTAGCTTCTAAAATAAGCAAAAGTCAAAAGCCAATTTTTTTTTTTCAGAAACTAAATATTTTTATAAATATATAAATAGTTTTAACTTTTGTAAAAAGCACTTTTAAAATAAATAAAAGATAAAAGCTACTTTTACTAAAAGTCGAAATAGACGGGCTCTCAGAGCCAACAGAGTTTACCATCTGGCATTGTGAAATATGTTTCCTAGAAATCAACCTAGAGTACTTACAGTACAACTACAAACATAAAAAAATAGTAAATGAGACTAAAAAAGGAAAAATGAATAAACCATTTTACATGAATTCAGATGAAGAATTTAGAGTATACCTATCAAATTAAACATCTTTGCTGTTGGGGCATTAGTTGAAGGTGCAGCAAGTACCGAACCACGAGGATCGAACATGTAAAAATAGCCACTAGAAATGACCGAGAGAAGGTCACATATGGAATAGCAGCAAATCAATCCCAAACCATAATTAAGTGTGTTGCCACGTAATCTCCATGGAGGAAGGAGCTGGAAATTAATAAATTCTTCTCGACTCAAGCACGCACCTTCAAAGATCGCTACAAGAGCAGGCCCTTGGAATTCACCTGCATAAATCATGTCATGTTAAGAGCAATTTAGAAAAGATATAAAAAAGAGTTAAACACACAGCACGGTCATTTCACAACCAACAATCAGCATAAGCTTTGAAATGCCCTTAGCTGCAAAATAACTTGCTGTCTTCCATATGGGTGCAATCAGCTTGCCAATATTGTGGCATACAGAGATGTTTGAATCTTTTTCTGAGAAAAGGATAGCCCTGTGTGCAAGCCTCCCACCATTGTGAAGTCTAAGGCTATGCAACCTCTTATCAGCTTGTGCAGAGAAGTTGCTTCTGTTAGATACCTACCACCAAGATGGGCCAATAGGAAGGTGTATGCTAGAAGAGGCAAGAGACAAAAGGAGGGAAAGTTAGTTAGTAGGGTAGTCAGACAACTGGGTTTGAGCGCGAAAGAACAGCTGGGTCTGTTTTGGTAGTTAAATAGGAGAAGTACTGACGTAAATCAGGGCATGACATCAAGAGGCCCAGTCCAACTCCCAGCTGGTCAAGTTACTAGAGATTGAGTAGCAAAATTCAAGGAATCACTCAATAGACTAATTCAAGAATTTTAGTCTTGTTAGAATGTATAAAGTTGTGTTAGTTTCTCCACATCATGTAAATAGGGCCCAAGCCCATGGATCTTATTATTATAAATATAACCCTTGTGTGGTCAGACATGACACACAATTCCTCAACTTTAAGTAGACACTCGAGCTTTACGTTCTGGGAACCTAGCATCCGCAAAACCCTAATTCCATCTGTATTTGTGTGTGTGAGAAATATAATATAAAAATCATTCATGTGTCTATAACTAATAGCTTAAGTTTGTAAGCGAGTTGGTTCATGACATGATATCGGAACATTAATATCTTAGTACAGGTAGATAGGTTTGTGCATTTTCCACTCTTCAAACCCAATGAGTTTTTGTATGAGGGGGTGTGTTAAAAATATAATATAAAAATTATTCATGTCTTTACCCAATAGCCTGAGCTTTTAGGAGACTTGATTCATGATAATATTAAATTTACCTAAATTGTGTTGCAGCAAAGACTGTCGAGGATGTTCTCTCTTATCATAAATCAGGTGCAATTTTGTGGCATTGCAGCAATCTGCCAACTCTAGGAGGTCAAACAACAAAAACTCATCTTTTCCATACAGGGCCAAAAGTTCATTTATTTTATTGTAGTCCATGCATGGCAGATCTTTAGTCATATCTTCACTGACTAAAGAGAGGCACCGAACTGACTGTACACCCAGCCTGTCTGCCAAATCATTGCTGATACTTGGATGCACAAAATGTCTCCCAATAAGAGAACTGTTTTCCAGCCAAGGTGCATCATTATATACAAGATCTCCTGCATGCATCAGAACTCCAAAAGAATCAGGAATCAACAAGGGACTGTCAAAAGGTTCAAAAAGTGGCTTCTCCAAGCAACAATCTGCTATGGCTTCAAGGACACAGCGAACAAAATTTAACTGATCTATTGAAAGAGGAACTCCTTGCACATCATTCTGCAAACTTTGTATTACATGAAGATAGTCCGAAATACCAAAACTCAATCTTACCCCTAACTTTATCATCAAATCTTTATACTCTGACAGTTCAGATGGAACGACATACAAGTAAGGAGTAAATTTTACAGGCGAATCAAATGCCAGTGCATTTGGTGATACAAAATCATCACCAATCCAGACCCATGAAACACCATCTAATCCTGCTTTCAGTTCATTGAAGTCATCCGTATTAATATATACTTGCAATTTTGAATAAAGGCAAGGTATTTCCTTTTGCAATTGAGCATCAAAACCAGGATCCAGCAATGAATGTTTCTTAAGCTGCTGATAGGAATTCGATAGCTCAATTAACTGCCTTGATAAAACACCTACATTTGGGCAATCCATCCACCCAAGTTTAGTTTGTAGATATATCGCGTCACACTCACCGTCTAATATGTGCATTGAGGAAGATACCATCCACATCTGTGATTTAGGCCGCACAATTGTGGGGGGTGCTACTTGGTTGCTGGATTTCAACCATGGAAGTCCCCTAACAGCTGGATCAGAAATTACCGGACACCAAGAGATTAGTTTCAATTCAGACCAAAATTCTTCTTCTACCATATCACCAATAGAGTTGCTTACAGATAACTCAATATCATCTTTTAGGGAGTTCTCATCTTTAGGAAAGGTATCATATACAACAGCATCATCCATTACACTGCTGCTTCCCACAGTTATGCCACCCTGTTGATCACCATCATTACTTTCTATTTTATTTGAGAGCTTAAGCGCTAATGCATCTAAAACAACCAGTAACTCTCTACCATGCTTCAATGCTGCAGTATCCCCAGAATCATGCAACAGACTGACTGATCTAGCACAATCAAGCAAACCAGTAAATCCCATAGTTCTTCTGAGTCCAAGGCAAACTAAAGTATCCAAAACTTCAGGATCTAAGAATTTATCAGAAGGAAAGAAAACATTCACATGCAGCATCTTTTTAAGCTGAGGAACCCGAGGATCATAAAGCCTGCAATAACATTCTAGTCAGCAATCCAAACAATGTCAGTTTTTAAGCAAGTAAAATACTTATCAAGCAGCTTAATCCTTTAATGATAAAGCGTCAATACATGATAGCATGCAAATGAAAGTCAATGTGTACATTTATATAAATTACCATGTTAAAATATATGAAAAATATCTCATAATATCTTGATTGCATTTTAGAATAGTTTAGACTTTAGAGTATCTTATATTATCTCTTAGGAATAATTTCCTTATTTCTTTATATTTCATGATTTATTTCCTTATTTAATTAGGATTTGGAGTCTAATATTAATATAAATAGAGTTTGGTGCTTAATAGCTTGTATCACATCATAACACATCAAATAAATATCAATTTCATATTATTCAGTCTTTATTTTCTCTTTTCTTCCTTCCTTTCCAAATCCTTATAATTTCAATATGTATGAGAGCAACCTCAATGAAGGCAGCAGCTCCAATGTAGGAAAACTAGGATTTCGCATAAGAATCCCAAATCAGGAGCTCCGTGACCATGTTGAAATAAAAGGAAATCTGAATATTATTGCTTTTTCATGTTCAGATATTTACAATATATACACTAGTGTGCCTAATTACTTTCCTAATAATGAACCGATTCTAGGGAAGCAAATCAAACGTATAATTTGTCACCTATCTTCCCTATAATGTATCCTACTATAATAATTACACAATTATTCATGCTATATTTGCAACACTCCCTATCAAGTTGGTGAATTATCATTTCAAGCTTGCTAGTAAGATCTTGAAATCTTTTGTTGGTAAGCCCCTTAGGCAACACATCTGCTAATTGAAGTCTTGAAGAGACATTTGTCGATCGATCTCAAAGTGTTTTGTTCTGTAATACTGAACTGGATTATGAGCAATACAAATGGCGGAATATTATCACAACACAGCTTCATAGATCCTTCATATTTCCCTTTGAGATCATCTCATACGATTTCCAGCAATAGTACTTCACAAAACCCTCGAGCCAAAGCTCAAATGTTGCCTACGCACTTCAGCGAGCAGCCACATTTGTTTCTTACTCCTCCATGTTATTAAATTGCCATAATGAATTCCCAGTGCAGATTTAAGATACCAGAGAATTCTATTCGCTCTCTGCCTAGAGTAGGTACATGAAGTGACTACCAAAACTGACAGCAGATGCTAAATATGGTCTCATATGAGCTATATATATCAATCTCCCTACCAACCTTTGATATTTCCCTTTATCGACCTTGTGACTCTCTTCTTCATTTCCTATTTTGTTGTTCTATTAATAGGCACATAGGTAGGCTTTCCACTCAAGTTTTGCAGCTTTCCCATATTTCCATTGCAAGTAAAAAATACCTTGTTTGGAGTAGGAAACCTCTATTCCAAAAAAGTTCCTCTGCTTTCCAAGATCTTTAACTTCAAATTGAGTAATCATCCACATAGACAAGAATAATGAGCTTTCGCTCTCGTGAATGCTTAAAGAAAAGTCTGGTATCCTTGAATCTTGTTGCATCCCAAGGGCACCATTAACTTTTGAAAACCTTCAAAACCACAGGTGGGGAAACCCATATAGAGCCCTTTTAACTTGCATATTTTATTTTCTCCATCTTTGGAATCAAATCCTTGTGAGAAAGTCATATATACCTCTTCCTCCCATTCTTCTTGAAGGAAAGCATATTTTACATAAAACTGATTCAATTCGCAATCAAAGTGAGCAACAAGAGATAATGACATTAGGACCAACTATAACAGTGAATACCCAACAATAGATTTTCCTAGAAGTGTAGGAACAATATCCCATGTGCCTTTAGAGTGCAAGGTAGACATCTCATCAATCATTACTTGGCGTCATTCTAGATATAATGATGCTTCAAGTGTTTTTAGGAATTGATACAAAGAAAAGATTAGAAACAAAGATAAAATGGGATGAAGAAAGACTCTCATAACTAATAAAGACATAAAGTGGATGATGATTACGAGTAGATTTATTACCTTTGCGAAAAACAATGAGCGGACAATCTGATGCAGGCGTCATGGTAGACAGAAGGACATGAGAAAGCGGTAAGTCACCGCAAATAGTGTCTAAAACAGGGCTGGTGTAACATCCCGAGCGCTAACGAGGGCGGAGAGTGATCGTCGGTGCAAAGAGGCACGGACAAGGAGCAGCTCCTGACAGGCTTCCAGCGGGGGGTTACATGCATGAATGAATCGAATCGACACCCGAAAGAAAAGGATTCCAAAGGCTGTGCAGGTATAAGGCTGCACAGTTTGGGATAGCTTATAAGAATTAATTGGTACTACCTATGCTAACAAGATGCATCTGCTTTTCGGTAGCCCAGAACGGAAGAACTCCACAGTTAAGCGTGCTTGACTTGGAGCAATTCTGGGATGGGTGACTTCCTGGGAAGTTTTCCCGGGAAGAGTGCGAGTGAGGAAAAAGCACACTGAAAAGTCTCGTGTTAGTATGTGGAGATAGTCGTTAATTCTTGAAGTGGCCGGGTGTTACAAATGGTATCAGAGCAGGGCCTCCCATCTAGTACGGTGTAGTTCGAGGACGAACCAGGCGGAAGCTGATGGGCATGTAACATCCCGAGCGCTGAAGAGGGCGGGGAGTGATCGCCGGTGCAAAGAGGCACGGACAAGGAGCGGCTCCTGACAGGCTTCCAGCGGGGGGTTACATGCATGAATGAATCGAATCGACACCCGAAAGAGAGGGATTCCAAAGGCTGTGCAGGTATAAGGCTGCACAGTTTGTGATAGCTTATAAGAATTAATTGGTACTACCTATGCTAACAAGATGCATCTACTTTTCGGTAGCCCGGAACGGAAGAACTCCACAGTTAAGAGTGCTTGACTTGGAGCAATTCTGGGATGGGTGACCTCCTGGGAAGTTTTCCCGGGAAGTGTGCGAGTGAAGAAAAAGCACACTGAAAAGTCTCGTCTTAGTATGTGGAGATAGTCGTTAATTCTTGAAGTGACCGGGTGTTACAGCTGGCACTAGTGGGCAGTCGAAGTTGACACTAATAAGTGATGAGAAGACGAGACAGACACAGGGAAGCCTTATGACTAGAGTCACTTGTGGAAGTCAAAGGAGGATCATATAAAGGAATAAGAAGGATAGTGTCAATTGAGAGACCTGTATTGGTGAAGGATAGAAAGGTTTTTTATTGAAAAAGGTGACATAACAGGTACAACATAACGTTTGAGATCAAGAGAATAAACATGGATACCCTTTCTGAAGATAGGAATAACAAAGAAAAAGACACTTAAAGGCTTTGGCCATGAGCTTGTCTTTCCCTGGAGTATAATTGTAAACAAAACACGTACAAACAAAAAAGTGAGTAAGCACATGACACACAGGACCATTAGGGAACAAGATATGATGAGGTAGTTCATCATCTAACACAGAGGAAGTCATTTGATTCATAAGATAACATGATAATAACTGCATCCCCCCAAAAATGAAAACGAACATTAATATGCAGGAGTAGAATTCTTATTGTTTCAATTAAGTGTCGGTTTTTGCATTCAGCCATTCCTTTTTGTTGCGGAGTATAAGGACATATAGTATGGAAAAGGTGCTGGAAATAATGTTAGAATACACTAGAAAAAGTGTCGGAAGAGTTGGAATGGCAAAAAAACATACCATGTCCCAAAACAGTGGGACCCACTAAAAAATTCTGATTTAAGGGCCTTGGCGTCTACTATGCATCAAACGGATCACGCACATTCTTGGACAGAAGACGAAAAATGCAGTGACAGCAAGAGTGGCACACGTGGGCACGTGACAACTTAGTCGAACATGAAACTCCAACAACGGACAAGTTTGTCGAAAAGAATGTCAAAAATTTTTTTTTGGCAACAGCACCGGTGGGCGAAGATGCAGCGGATGGCGGTCGAAATGAGGGACAACATGGAGGTGGATTGCCTGAAGAGGTGCGACATGGCAGAAGGCTTCCGGAAGGATACAGGGCGTGGCAAAAGGATACGCGTAAGGAATGGCTCACCGGTATCAAGGCATGACGATGAAAAGGTCACTGAGCAGCTAGGTTGTCAGTAACGGTCGGTAGCACTGCTAAACCGCTACCATAGCGGGTAGCAGCGGCTGCTCCAACCGCAATGCTACATGACGCTAGCCGATAGCTGAAGGTAGTGGTGTAGCATAGCAGCAATACCGCTACCCACTACACCGTTATACCATTAGTTCAAGTGAAGATGAAAGTGAGGGAGAAGATTTGTAGGAATTTGATGGAGAATCTGGAGATGATGATGATTTTCTTCATTAGTTCACTTCTTGTATTTGACTATTTGACATTTCATTGTTCATCTGTGTTTAATTTTGGATCCTTCCTTTATGTTCCTTGTATTTGACATTGATTGTGGAATTATATGTTTGATTTTGTGTGGCTTCTTATGTTTGAGCATTTATATTTGTGTAGTATTAGACTGTTAGTATAATATATGCGGAATTATAACTTCACTGTAGCGGCAATAATGCTACCCGCTACACCGCTACACCGCTATACCATTTTTAGGGTCGGCCGCTAACTGCTACTGACAAGTATGCTGAGCAATGAGCACAACAAGAGTAGGGTTTTATTTGGTGCTGGTCAAAACCCATTATGATACCAACTTGAATATGATTGAGTGAATTTTGTGTGTCCCAAAACAAACAACACAAGGCTCTACATATATTAGTGTGGGGATTAATTACAACCATTTCGTTCCTTATACAAAATCCTAATTGATTCTATAGCAAATACATAATCATCTATTTTACATAACCTAACAATCCTAACAAATTTAAATTCCAAATTTAAGAAACTAGAAAATGTTACATTACAAAGTTGAAAATAATGATGTTCCTAGTAAAAGAAAAAAAAAACTTGGCATACCGACAGTGATAGCATTTAGCAGCTAGGTCGAAGAAAAAGCCTTCTTTATATAGCAATGAAAGACATCTTATTTGAGAGAGATATTGGAAAAAGAAAAAATTTATAATATTACCGATTCGGTTGCTGCCAAGATCCATTGGCTGACAGAACAAATGGTACAGCAGAAAGTGCAGACTTGAGAGACATATCCTCTTTAATCAAAAGTTGTACATCATGCAGAATGGCTGAAACAACTCCTTGCTTCGAAAGGAACTCTGACATGCGATTGAATATGTGATCCTTGTAGAATTCCATTTTTGTTGGTTCTTTTATCTCTAAATACCTTCTCATAATGACCCTTTCCATTTCTGATTCAATTCTTATGAAGCTGTCATTTAAAAGATCTTCTCGAACACCACTAGGACCAAGCCATTTGATAGGCTTACTCAAACTCACAAGCTTTCTGCTATTGTATGACTCAAATATTGGGAGGTGTTTGATGATTTCAATATGTGTGTTATCAATTTGCTCGTCAGAGAACCATTTCGACTGAAGAATAAAACTCCGAAGTTCGTGAAGCTCCCCTTCAGATACATCTGTAAAGATCCCCTCAATCTTTTGTGGCTCCCCAGCAATAGCCAAAAAGACATTTAAGACACCTCTTGCTGTTGGTGACTGCACAAAATGTTCCAGTTGAGGGTGATCTAATTGCAGGTCATGTCTCAAGAACAAACATCCAACCTTCAACAACAAAGAAGACATTTTTTCACTCCATCCATCATTTTCTATCACATTCAAATTTGGAGTTAACTGCATCAGGCAGTCATCCCCAACAGGTAAGATAGGCCACTTGGAAAACATTAAAAGATCATCACAATATGACTTCAGATAGTTCCATAGTATTTGCAACCATTCTAAACTTGGTTGGCCACGAATACCAGGAGTCCAACTTACTTGTCGAGCATGTTGCCACTCTACAGGCAATAATTTCACAAGAAGTTTCTCGAGCAACTGGCATGACAAGAAAGAAATATTTGTGCCATTTGTTTGGGCAATGTAACAAAGCTTTTTATGAACTTCTTCTGGGATAACACAATCTACAAGTTGATGGGGAATGGAATCCTTCAGAAGGCCATATTCATCACCACGTGCAATGTAAACTCTTTCTCCAACCCCCTTCAAATCAATTGATGTAAAGGAACCATTGGCAAGTGGTAACAAGGGCAAGCCACATAGAGTATCAAACTGCATAGATTCTTGTAAGTCATGTAAGCAATATTCAAGGGACAAAATCATTGCATCCCTGTCCTTAAATTCACGCTTCCTTCTGATCAACAAAGTCCTTAACAGCTTAGGCGTCAGAAAATGCAATGCTGGACAGATTTCCATAAACCTTTCCGAAACTGATGGTGGAAGTGAAATGACAGGTAGAGAAGAACCAGATAATGCTTTTATAAGCTCAGCTGCCTTGGGGAAAGTAAAATCGGGAAATATAGCATGTTTGGTTGATATCCATTGACCCCCTCTAGCTTCTGTATATAATACACGGAGATTAAATTCAGCAACAAATTGGTAGAGTTTCCGTTCTACTGATGCCCACGGTTCTAACACTAATGTTGTCGGCCACAACGAGAAGAATAAATTGCAAGGGCCAATCTCTGATGCTACTTTCTCAAGCAAACGACCATAAGCAGGGGCCACAACATTTTCAAGGAGGTAAATATTCCAGTCCGATCGTTTTCTTCCACCCCCCGTCATATCAGAACCAAACCAGATATCCCTACGATTTGATGATAATTCAAAGTATGCATTTACATGAGCAGGAAGACCAGTACTGATTGGTAGAGGTAAAAAGCAGAATGCACGACCTTCAAAATTTTCCAATGGATGCATAGGCAAACTAGCAACCTGAAACAGATCAGGAGAAACCAGACAACCATCCTCCACCTCTGAACTATCAACCAGGTCACCACCAAGCTTAACAGAATTCAAATATGCAGCAACACATGCCCAAGGAATAAAGTTGTGACAGTTACTATTGGATGCTTCAGATGTACCCTTTTGAGCATTCCCACCACCTAAACTTTCTATGGTTATCCAATAGTGTGAATTATGACCAGATGTGCTTTGCTCCGTAATCAAGATCTTCTGGCATTTGTAAGGCAAATCCCTGTCAATGGATAGGCTTAGTTTCTTTAGAAACTGAACTCTATTCATTCCAACATGTCTATTTTCATTGAAAAAGTTGAATATATCCTGGGCTTCAGTAGATCCAATTTCAGGCTCACCAATACAGGTTCTGCGTACACGATGCAGTAGGTGCATTTCATGTCCTGTTCCTTCCTTCACAAAAATAGATATAGATTTCACATTACGTAAGAAAAGTAATGTTTCAGAAACAACCTCAGAAAAAGAAGCAAAGAGAGATTTGACATCTTCAGGTGTATATACTTCCTTCTTAATTTGGCTCCGAGAGGCAACACCTGCAGTTCTAAGCGGGAATCGGAATAGCGTACCAGGAAAAGGGTGTTGCAAGTCACAGCCAAAATGTAGCAGTGAAGAAAATTGATCAGGAAATTGCTCCAAAATCTGCCTTCCCACAAACTTAATTCGCAAACCAGGGTGAGAAGGAGATATCCCAGGTAAATTACAGGCATGAGGGTCAAACATTACAATATTTTCTCCAGAAACAAACATGGGGATATCTGTAAAGTGATAGACACAATTAAATCCAAGTCCAAATCTTCCAATTGCAAAAGCCTTCTCAAGTTTACTTTCTTGACCAATACGAGAAATTGCATAAAGATCTTGTGGACTAAAAACTGAGTCATTGAAACAGTATAGAGCAGGACCTTGCCAATCAGCCATTTCAGGAGAAAGAATAGAAGAAGTCCCATATTGAGATTTATCCAAAAGAAATATTACTTCAGAAGCTCCAGCATCTTCTGCATTTTGTACTAGCTCAAATAGAGTCCCAGGCCCATCAGCATACATTTCAAGTATATGCTTAAGCCTTGTTGTCAAAGCCTCATGCTGTCCAAAAGCCTCAGCAGCACCAGATAGACCAAAATTCATTGAATCTGCACTCTCAGCCAGCATCATCCTGCGAAGAGAACAGACACCAAGCTTTTCTGCTACATCATTAGAAATGTTTCCATGCACAAATTTTTGCACTGTTCTCTTTGCATTCCAAGACACAGTTGATGCATTGCCAAATGACCCATCAGGATCTTCTGAGCCAAGCAGCCAGGGGGCATCATTATAAACCAAGTCACCAGCAAGAAATAGTCTACCTGAGAGATCTGGCAGATAGACCTGGACTTTCTGTTCAAGAAGGTAAACTTCAGCTAGATGATGCACTACTAGCGTGACAGCCCTAATCTCCTGTGTGTCAAGAGGAGATGATCCTTTTTTAACTGCCATCCTACAAAGAATATTAGCATAGTCAGCCGGTTGCAAGAATTCACGAATACCAAGTTCTAGAAACAAATTTTTGAAAACTGCCAAGTCAACTGGGATAACCCGTATATATGGAGCCAAATGAAGAGGACCATCAAGGACAACCTCATCAGAGGTTGCAAAGCCATCTCCCACCCAAATCCACCTAGAGCCTTCAAGAACAGCTTTTACAATCTCAATCTCATCAGAAGCTATCATTCCTGTCAGTATTGAGTATATCCTCGGCATTGCCAGGGCTAATTCCTGCCTAAGAACTTGATCAGTCACAATCTCATTATTTTTTCCAAGCTCCAGTAATTGAGCAGCAATTACGCCTCCTCCTGGTGGAGACATCCATCCCAGGCTATATAATAAAGCTGTGGAAGAGCATTCACAATCCAATATCCGCATGCTAGCAGAGACTAGCCACAAATCATTTAGTGGCCTTACAAGTTTGGGAGGAGCAACCATTGATGACACAACTGGCCATGGTAATGACTGAAATGGAGCAGAGTCTAAAACTGGGCACCAGGAAATCAGCCGGAGGTCATTCCAGAACTTTTCAATATCAGATTTTGTGTTGCGAGACCTAAAAGCAGTTGCAGCTTGTGATAACATTCGGGTAATTCCTCCTTTATGATCAACAACTTGATCGGGAAGCCACTTCAATACATTAACTTCTAGGTAAGAGAAAAGCACTTTCCCTTTCAAGTAGGCCTTTTGTTGATCCACGTGCATCAGATGCTCTATACATCGGGCACTTTGTAAAACAGTGTCTGGAGACACAGAAGTTCTAAGGCCCAGGCCTCGTAGAATATCAAGTGTTTCAGATTCTCGGAAAGCACCAGAAGGAAAACAATCTGAGTCTTCTAGTAATGCATAGAGTTCCTCATTACTAGGATCATATAAAACTGAAGGACACTTAAGAGCACCAGTGAGTATTGGGATGAATTCCAAATTTCTCAACAAGTCCCTGATAGATATGTCCTCAAGAGACAAAAGCGGCAAATTTCGTAGAACTGATAACATTATGCTGTCGCGAACCTCAGCTTGCAACTCCCCAACTCTATTAAAAACTTGCTGCTTGTAAAACTGTGCTTTCCCCATTATCTGAACTCCATAATATCTTGACAGAATATCCTCTTCAATATTTGACGATCTGACAATGAACTCAATGCCCAGAACAAACTCCGGCACATCTAGTGGTGGTAAGTACTTTAGAGGATTTTCTAAGTCAGAGAATTGGGAATCTTGAGCAGACTCTCTGCCATAGACTTGATATATAGGTAATCTCTTGCAAAACCTTATGCTAAATTCATCCATGGATTGTCCAACATACCATTTAGGATCAAGAAGAAATCTGCGGAGTTCATTTCGTTCTTCAGCTATTAGACTATCAAGTGAAAGTTGCATAATGTCAGCACTTGAAAATGCATTAAAAATTGATTCCAGTACACCTGCCGCACTGCCATCACATACATAATTAGATAAATCCGGATGTTCAACTACATAACTCGGATTCAATATATTACATCCAATTTTCACAAGGATATCCTGAACTCTATCAGAGAGATTGCTTCCATTGATCATTTTCAATTGTCTGGAAGGTCTTAACAGATGCCCAGATGTGGATGGTAAAATAGGCCAATCACTAAATAGTGACAATATTTCACTCTGCTTTCCTAGATATTGCCAGAACAGCAAAAGCCATGATGATGTTGGCTTTCGACAGGATTGGGGATCCCAGAACACTTTACTTTTATATTTCCAGTCAGCTCGCATAAACCCAGGAAATAACTGAGCAAAATGGTGAATGCTGCAAAGAGTAAGATTGGTCTTTGACGACCTTGCAATACCAGAGAGTCTGCCCAATATATTGAGAGGAATGCTCTGATCAATTACTCTGTCAGAAACTGGCTGCAGGAGCTTGTATTCTAATTCATCACAAATGAAATAAGAAATTCCTTTTGATGCTTCCAAAAATGATGCAAAATTGCCATTTGCTAATGGAAGTAAGGGCAGATTGTATGCCTCTTTACCAACATCATCATCAACCAAGTCCTCTAGGCAATATTCCAACAATAGAAGCTTGTATTGTCTGCTCAAATAATTAAATGTTCCACATTTCCTAAGAAATTGACGTACTGTAGCAGGAGTTACCACCTTGCTGGAATTATATTTTAAAAGCATGTCAAACAATGAATTAGGCAAATGCACAACTGGCATTCCTAGTTGCATCAGAGACAAACCAAGGTCCTTGCTTTTGGTGAATTTTTGATCGTGTAGAAAGGCTTCACTTGGTGATACCCATATTCCTCCATTGAGATCTGAATACATAACTGGAGCATTCCCAATGTTTTTGTATATTTGTTCAACCAAAATGTTCCATGGATCTTCAAAAGAACCAATGGGCCATAAAGAATAGTAAATGTCCGTTGGCCCTAGCAATTCTTTCACACCAAGCAGCATATGTATAAATGCAGGAGCCACAACGTCTTCCAGTAGAAGCCTATTCCAGAGAGAACGAACTTTCCCACTTCTGTCCATATCCTCCCCATTCCAAATGCCACGACGATTTGATGAGACCTCAAAGAATCCATTGACTTGTACACTAAGTCCGGTTCTAACAGGCAGTGGAAGAAAACAGAATGCCCGACCAGTCCTAAGAACATCGCTCTGTAAAAACCATACATGGTAATATGAGGTATGGACCATGGATATATATTAACAAAGAAGAAATTCCCAAAAAGCAAGTAGAAATTTTAATGTAAACTGCAATTATTTTTCAATGAAAAGAGTTAAAAGTTGTGTGCCTTCTTTTATTTAATAAGTTAAATGCAAGAGAAGAGCAGTTACTTAGGAAGGGCCCTTCTAGTGCCATCTTGAAGATTAGGAAGAGACCTTGAATTTTTACTTCTCTCATGCAACTCATTTCAAGCATTAGCATATCGTTCATGTTACAGTGGCTCAACTAGTGCCTTCACTTTTTTTTCCTTTTTATTAACTTTTTATGGATGATTAAGACTAGAAAAAATTTTAAGACCCAAATTAGTTGGGGTTGGCAGTCGATGAACCCACATAAAAAGTAAAACGATTGAGGGAAGAGAAAAATAAATAAGAAAGAAAATAAATAAATAATAAATAAATAAATATAGGGAAAAATGACTAAAAATAGCTGTCTAAACATAATTGACTATTGATATTTCTTTTCCTTCAGAGAGTATCTGAAACTTGAGTATGATGAGCACTCTGTCCTAAAGGAGTACTCAAGGTTTATAAGGGGAGTATCCTTCCAAGAGGAGTATTCTTAGTTTACCAGTAAGTGAAGTACCGTACCAAGAGGAGTACTCTTGGATTGTCCCACACCAAAAGATACATCTCTGATTTAAATATCATTACCAGTACACCAAAAAGATGACAAAAGAATTAATTCAATGCAATAACGGTCATAAAAGCATGAGCTTGTATTTAAGATTCTAGCATTCCTCTATAGCCAATACCAACAAGCAACAGCAAGCATTGCATTTCTCAATAAAACTACACCCCACTGATCTCCCAAAACCTCTAAAAAGAGGAGTAATATGTCTTAAAACTCTCCAAATAGCCCCAATATGTTTTTAGACTTTAAATAATGATATGCCTAACTATTAATCAAAAGCCGCAGCAAAATTGATAGCTGGACTGGATGAACCAAAATGGACCATTGCTTCCAACTGAGTTCACATTCACAGTTAATAATTAATATGGCAGCCAACCCAATACATGGTTAAGGGTTTAGAACCAAAATTAAATCCAAACAGCTTGAATTCTGTGTGTGTGTGTGTCTTGGGGTGGGGGGGAAGAGAAAGAGAGGGGGCTACGGCAACAGCAAAAGACATAAGATATTGCAAATTACATTCAGTGAATTGTCCGAAATGCATGCCGCAACTGATGCCCAAGGTAGCAAGTGAATGTCATATTCTTTGGATGCAGTGGTAGCAAAAGAACCAATCCTACTAGAAGCTGAGGCCATGGTTTGCACCACATAAAATCTTTCTGTTTGCCTCTCAGTTTCAAGTCCACTTACTCCCTCACTTAAGAAGTCCAATGGGAATGCATCCACTTCACTAGTGGTATTTAAACACTTAGACAATCTGAGCAGTGCCTGCCGATGCCAAACTGTATCATCAGTTACTGAACTAACAGAGGATGAATGAATTTTCTTTGGTTCGGGTTCTCCAGCATCCCACACATACATTTCAATGCACAGCACACTCTTTAAAAAAAGAAGCGTCAAAACTCCTTCTTCAAAGAGCTGAACAAACATGGAGGAAATGTCTTCTGGTGAATATGCTTGCCTTGAGAGCTTACTTCTGTCTGCCTGATCTGCATTCCTCAGAGGAAAACGGAATAACGTTCCAGCAAAAGGACTTTGCATGTCACAACCAAAAGCACAATAGGGGAAAAACTGATCCTTGTAGAACAAGAGGGCAGATGAACTGGTGAAGTCAATCCGCTTCCCAGGGTTTGCTGCAGAAACTCTTGGAAGATAAACACCCTGAGGATCAAATAGCACCACGTATTTGCCACTCACAAAGGAAGGAAGATCTGTCAAATGGTAGACTGAATTGAAGCCAACCCTTGAAAACACACAGAGAACAAAAATGAAGACAAGAACTAGAGAAATACAAAGAACCCAAATATCACAGCAATATGAGAATTATTTACAAAAATAGATGATACACAAAGAAAGTGAAAGTTGATAACTAAAATAGATGACAAAAATTTTAAATCTATATCCATACATACACACACAACTATGATATAGATACACCACCATAAATGACAGACACTAAAACTCAACAATATCCGACCTAACTTTTATGAGTAAAAACTATGAGGACATTCCAACATGCCACTCTCATTATCAGGACCTTGGCATTGCAGAACAGAAACAAAGTTCAGCTTCAGTTCTTACAGTTGACTAGTAGATGAAAAGGACAAGATCAGCAAAGCAAACTATCGCACTATTTTACCCTATTTTTACAGCATAAAATGCCAAAACATTGAAAAATTATAACAAACAATTCCTTCCTCAAAATTTACACTAATTCCTAGCCTTGATTCTCTACACCATCAAAGTCAACAACATTAACCAATTATCAACACAAAATCAACCAAATCACACTTAAACTCAAGAAATTCAATCAAACCAACGCAAGAAAAAACAAAATTACCCAAATCGGCCAGTCTTCGAAGCCTGTCCATGCTTGCTGCTCCCACCGATCTTGGATATACTGACGAAATCATCTTCAGTAAAAACGGCGTCGTTGTAGGCCAACAGCGCCGGCCCCTGCCACTGCGACAGGGAATCCGAGAGCAACGAATCGCGGCCGTGGGAGCGGCGGTCGAGGCAGAGGGAAACGGTGGTGGCGCCAGCATCGTCAGCGTTCTGTATGAGCTCCTTGAGGACGGTGGTTCCCTCCGGGTAATTCAGCAGAACCTCGCGGATGCGGCGAGTAAGGTCAACCGTCTGGCCGAAGTCCTCGAGAAAGATGGATTCCGGTGCCGGGGACTCCATTGATTCCGGCGAATCGGAGGAGATTGGGGTTTTTTATGGTGTTTGATCGTGCATGAGAGATGATACTGTTCTACGGAGAGATAGAGAGAGAGAGAGAGACAGAGAGAGGAACTTTTAATCTTTTAATGGTTTTATTGGTCTCTTAAATTAAAAGTGAAGACTTAAGACACACACTACTGTTTCGCGGTTCTTTTGTAGTTATTGGGTCTCTTCTAAGACACATGAGAAATGTGTTGTTGTGAGTACGTTTTCAACTCTCTGTTATAGGATGCAGGTCTAGCCTTGACGTGACAATGGAGGCAAATATGAACAACTTGTGTAAACAACGGCATGTTTTGTATAAGGGTATGGTGTTTGCCATATTTTAAAGAGAAAAATATTTGTGAAATTAAGGCAGATAAATTATATGTATTTATTTTTTAAAATGATGTTATTTTGGAATTAAAATATTAAAAAATTATAATTATAAAAACTATAATAATCTTGAAATAAATTAAAATTACAAAAACATCATGATTTTCTCCTCAAAACGATGTCATATTGAACTTACTGTAAATAATTTATCTGCAGTAACTGCAAAAAAACGAAATCATTTTAAGATAGAGATAAACACAAAGAATTAAATCATGGGGAGAAAGTGGGTATTTTTTAATTTAAATTTTAAATAAAAATATTATTTTGTGTCGATTTCTCTCTTAAAAATTAAAATGACATAACTTTATGTGTATAATATCTATTAGTATAACATCTAAGGGTAAAGGATTTCACTGACGTTTTGTGGTGGAAATTAATGTATTTTTATAATTATATTGCATAATTATATTAATTTTATTATTATAATTTTTTAATCTTACAATTGAAAATGATGTGTTTTGAGTTTATTGAAGATAACTTTATCCCCAGTAACTAGAGGAATAATTTTCCCAACATCTAATAAGGTAAATAAACTAAGAGATTAGGGGGTGTTTGGTAGATAGATATTTTTTAGAATGCTAGGAAAGTGATAGATGAAATGCACAAATGATCATGTTTGGTACGGAGTAGGGAAAATTTGCCTAGGAAAAAAAAAAATTAATGAGGCATTTTGTAGTGTAAAAATGAAGGAAAATGCCCACTTAGGAATACTAACTTGATGGTGGTATTTTGATTTTCCCAGCAAACTCAAACTTGTAGCAATTTTACACCAAAATTTTTTCGGTAATATTTCGACCTACCAAACAACTTTTTTTTAACTTTTCCAAAAAAATCATTTTCCCAGGTAAAAAAAAAAATTCTCCTCTACCAAATGTCCTTTAGTGTTTTATGTTGTAGGAAAATATATGAGATCCATCTTTTCTTTTTTTCTCGTCTCTTCATATGAACTCACACAATTTTATATATATATAGTAAATAAAATTAATTCTTACAATATAAGAAACATTAATATCGTAAACAATTATTGGTATCAAGGTCAAGGAAAGCGCACCAAGTCAAGGAAAGTGGGAGGGTAGCTACTAGAATTGGTCTAGCGGTAAAGAATTTAGATAATTTTTATTACATTATACGTTCAATTTCCACTAGGGCGTTTGGTACGCGGCATTCTTCCGGATTCTCAGGAAACTTAATTTTTTTAAATTTTTAATTTTCGGATATTATCATTAACTGAATGTAAAAATCATATTTTTGAAAATTAAGATTTTCGGACAAAAATAAATTTCTCTTGTACCAAACGCCCAAGAGATTAGGGTTTAGGGTTAGAGGGTTATCATTTATCAACTTATGTTATGCTAGTTTATTCGCCATGATATGGTAAAGTACAAATAAGATAAGAGTATAAAATCGTAAGGGTTGAATAAGTTCATATCATATTTTTTATTTAATGTGTATTAGAAATGTAATTTAATATAATTATTTTATTTTATTTTGTATTTGAAGAGAATTAAATAACGATAAATATTATATAAATAAATAAAATATTTTTTATGATATATTTTTTACTAAAAAGTTCTTTTGATTTTTTATAGATTAAGTCCCTTTTAATTTTTAAAAGAAATTAATGTCATACTTTTAAATTAAATATATAAAAATAACTAACAAAATTTTCCAAAATAAGATATATACATATATAGCAAATAAATTTTAAATTGATTGTTGATTTTTATGTATGTAAAACCAATGTTATTAAACCCGGCCCGGGCATAGACCCGGTCGGGGTACTGGGTCTTCGGGTCACTAGTCGGACCGGTGGATCTCTGGTCGGACCGGTTGACCCGAATATATATAGATATATAAAAATATATATAATTATGAACATATAAATTCAATTATATTCTTCATATCTAAAATGAATTAAACAAGATTAATTAAATAAGCTAAAAAACATGAAGTATAAATAAAAATGCATGTTATTACTATGTCAATTTGAATTGGAACTCAAAATCCTCCTAACATACCTCTCAATGACATTGAACTCATATTTTTCAAATTCAACTACATTAAAAATGACATATGTCACAATCTCTTAATTTATTATTCCACAAATTACTTGAGTATTGGAAGTTGAAATTTGAGGTCATTGTAGAAGAGTATAATAGCAAATAAGATTACAAAAAAAAATTAAAATTGGTTCTACATTTTTTTGACAAAAACAATTTTGGTTTTTTTTTTTAAATGGATGACCCGACCGGGTCACCGAGTCGCCAGTTTTGTCCGGGTTTTGACCGGGTCGATGCATGACCGGTCCAATACTTGACTCGAATCGGTCTGATGACCGAGTCACCGGGTCGGGGCAGGTTTTACAACACTGATGTAAACACAACCAAAATATTTCAAATAACATAAACACAAAAAATAATTCATAATATTTGGATAAAGTTGGAGACTTATTTTTTGATGAAAATGATTTTTTTTAAGAACACTATCACAATGGTGGTAAAAAACATATGACAATGATTGGGGTGGTGGTAATGATTGTAATGGTGGCAATGGTTGTAGTGTTGGCTAGTGGTTAATGGTAGTGGTGATGTTAGTTGGCTAGTGGCAGCCGATGGCGATAGTGGTAGGACTCACCTAATGGTTGAAGCTTATAAATGCATAAGACTGATTTTGCAAGAAAAATATCATGTCCTATCCCGTTGAATTTTAAGTCAAACGCCCCTCTTAAGATAGCTTATTAGGCTATGGTACGGATAGGATAAAATAAGTCAATAGAATAAGCTTATTATATTCTTGATGGCTTTCCAAATAATGGACAAGAGCAATCTCCACTATATTATGCACCCAACAAGCGTAACATGAATATTGTGTTAATAATATGTAATAATCTAGGAAAAATAATTGTAATAAAATTATTAATAATAATGTATATTTTTATAGATATTATGATGTTAGACATATTAGGCTTAGCATAAAGTGGTGTTATAGCATAAAGTGGACCAGAAGCATGGTTGCTCAAAGTAATAAAAATGCAAATATTGCTCCATATATCTGTTGGTCACCTTCGTCTGACCATCAGATTGGGGGTGATATGCAAAAGTTAGGTGTAAGGTTATGCCACTTAACTTAAAGAGATGCGTCCAAAACTGGCTCACAAAAATATGATCCATAATAGTTATAAGAGACCGAGGAAAACTATGAATACGCACTACCATTTCAGAGAACAAAGTGGCCACTGACACAACTATGTAAAAGTTTGGCAACCTACCGAAATAAGCACACTTAGACAATCTATTTACCACAACCAAGATTGTTGTATACCCTTTTGATAGGGAAAGATCTGATATGAAGTCCATTGTAAGATCTTCAAGTATACCTTCTGGAATGGGCAAGGGATGAAATAATCCAAAAGCTCTTGAAGTTTCATATTTTACTTGCTGGCAAACATGACAAGTCCGAATAAACTACTTCAAATCTTTACGCATTGTGGACCAATAGAAGGTGGCAGACAAACGTAAAAAAGTGTGTAACGCACCAGCGTGGCCCCTAGCAAGAGATGCATGAGCCTCCTTAATCAAAGAAGGAATAAGGGATGAAGTGGCACTAAGCAAATACTTGTGATTATAGAATAACACCCCATTACGCACCATAACATCAAGTTCAGAATTGGCTTGGTTAAGTAGTTTTTGGTGGAGCTGCAATAAGAAGGGATCAGTATTGTTCTGCTCTCTAATAACTGTCAGCACATCAAAAACAGGTTCTGAGAGTGAAACATTCAAGGCACCATCCTCATGTACACAAGACAAAGCATTAATAAAAGTGTTGGTGCGCCCTGGCTTATATTCAATTTGGAAGGAATATCCCAACAACTTGCAAAGGTAGTATTGTTGTTCAGGAGTGTAAATTGTCTGAAAGTAATTCTTTAATACTCATATGATCTGTGCGTATGAAAAATTGAGAGCCTAACAAATACTTATGCCATTTCTTAACAGTCGTAATAATGGCATACAACTCTCTTATGTAAGTGGATGTGTTAGCTAGTCTACAACCTAGCTTTTTGCTAAAATAAGAAATAGGTTGCTCATCTTGAAGCAATATTGCCCCTATGCCACTATTGGAAGCGTCTGTCTCCAATACAGATGCCTCCTCAAAATAGGACAGCCGCATATTGGGGTGTTAACCATAGGCTCCTTCAACGCAAGAAAGGCATGCTTAGCTTCTGTAGCCATGTAAAATCCTCGGTTCCTTTAAGAAGGTTAATTAATGGGCAAGCCACTGATGCATACGATCTAACAAACCTTCTATAGTATCCTGTAAGGCCAAGGAAGCCCCGCAATTGTTTAATAGTTTTCGGAACAGGCCACTCTATTATGGCAAAGATTTTCATGAGGTCTGTGAATACTCCTTTCTCTCGCACCACATGACCCATGTACTTAATGGAATTGACACCAAAAGCACATTTGCTAAACTTCACAAAGAAACTATGCTGCTGAAGACAAGCTAGAGTCAACTGAAGATGCTTGGTGTACTCCTCCATGGATTTGCTAAACACAAGAATGTCATCAATGAAGACAATGATGAATTTACGAAGATAAGGCTTGAAGAGGTAGTCCATAACAGCTTGA